ACAAGAAAGACAGCTAACAACACTCTCCCAGCCTCTATGCAGACAACTCCCTGCCATTCCCATGGCAACTGTCCTACTTCTCCTGACTCACACATGGGCCAGGCAGAAGACATGCCGCTGTCTTGATTCAAAAGACAAAAAAAAAGTGTCAATGCACAGAAATATTAAGTTACTAGTCTTGAAAGATCAAATGAAATCAGCCACAGAGCAAGACCAATGTCCAATATTCCTGTGTCTCTTTCCCCCTTATTCTGGGACATTCAATCAGTGGCCTCAGAAAAAATGGCTGAGACTGTTATCTGGTCACTGGTTCACTAGCTGGTCTATGTGAATTAACAGGATTAACTCCTGCTGGTCAGGAATGTACAAGAGGTTTGGTCCCAGCCATGAATTCCTGCCCTCATGGTCTCACCCTGTGAGGATCATGCTTCTGACTCTAGGGTCAGGCTCCCCTGTGAAGTGAGAGAAGGAATGACAATCTCTGTGCATGTATCTTTTTTTTTTTTTTTGCATTTTTAAAATTCACATTTAATCACTGTACATCTTTCCAGTGTACCATATGTTTTTCTCTGCACAGATACAGAACTTATTAATCAAATCATAGATATTACCATACACATTATCAACAGACAACTTTTAATTTTTGTGTCTATTAGATGTTTTGTTTTTCTCCTGATCCCCTCCCACCCCTCCTGTACTGTCTCTAGTATCTACAGTTGCCCTCCCTGCTATTATACTTTCCCATCGTACAGCTTCTGCCATGGAGTGCAAGACATTTGGTATATGTTAAACAGGGACATACAATGCCTGTCTTTCATAGTCTGGTTTGCTTCACTTAGCTTTAAATCTTCCATACTCATCCACTTTGTATCAAAAGTCAGGATCTCATTGCTTTTCATGACTGAGGAGTATTCTATGGAGTACATATGCCACATTTTTTCATTCCACTCATCTGTTCTTGGACATTCGGGTTGATTTAACCATTGCAGTTGTAGGTTATTTGGCAGAAGCTGAAGCACTACATAGATAAACCTGAAAGAAAATAACCTGAAAGAGATGAATTAGTTGGACACCTGGGTCACAAAAATTTGTTAAATGGATTTACTGACCTGCTTCTTTCACTCTATCTTTTTTGTTCATTTGATTTTTAAGAGTTTTGTTTTTGTTTTTGCTATAGGGCATTCTTGCCAGAGAGAGAAAGACAGAAAGCAAGAAATCACTCCCAAGGAGGGATGGCCAAGCTGCAGCCCCTTCTCCTCCATTCTCCTCCTGGGATTTTGGGCCCATGTGCACATGAACCAGGCCTAAATTTCATGTGACGGGTCCGGGACTCGAACTGCGGTTGAACATGTGGAAGTCCAGCACCTTAACACCATGCCACCTACTAGCCTGTGTTTGTTTTTTAATTCAAGAGTTCATAGACACACATGGTACTGAACTTCATGACTCACAGGATGCTCCTTTAACCACTGACATGATAAGGGACTTGATGTTACCATACTTGAAAGTGGAGGAGGGATATAAAAGCCAGTGCACAAGGAAGTGTGCATTCAGACTTGGTTTAAAGCAAGACAACAGAGCAGCTGGCGCCTGACCTCATTTCTAGGTACAAAACATTCAGAACTCACTGCATCACAGACTTGAAAGTACTGGGAAAAGGAAAAATAAAAAGAAAAAGAAAAGAAAAAGGAAAAAGAGTGAACAAAACCCTATGCATTCACTCAAAGAGACTCTCCAAGTTAGAGGGGCACAAATTATGCTCTAGCTTCCCATGTTTTCAGGGTGCAAACTATTTTGAAACAGGAAGCATTTGCCCCTCCTTATGGCTCAGATTCAAGAAGTACTGGTTCAGCCAAGCATGAACTAAAAACAAAAGATCATAAGACTTGATCCTTAAGAGACTGGAGAAAGGCACACAAATTGTAAAACTCTCCTGAAAAGTCTCTCCCCGAGATCCAATTCCGAGCAATGTTTGGGTAACTTTACTCTTAAATCTGTTTGGGGGGCCAGATGGTTTCACACTGATAAAACACAACACTCTGTAAGGTCGACCTATGTGGAAGGTTAAGTTCACATCCAGAGAACTCCTTGAGTCCCACTGATACCTCAACATAGATAAATAACTGACTGTATTCATTCAGTGGCTCATTCATTGGGCAGACACCTATGGAGCTTCAGTGTTGCTTTCAATACACTCGGAATTATCAAGAGAGCAAGGAACTAAATGTGCCTGGTCCAGCCTCGCAGAGCTCCTAGTCTAGGGAGGAAGGCAAATGCTGAGCCATTATTCAAATTCTAATTATGAGCCATGAGAAGAGGTATGAAGTGAGGCCAGTAGATGGCATAGCAGTTTTGTCGCTGGACTCGCACATGTCCAACAGCAGTTTGAGTCCCTGACCCAGTGGCTTAAAGCTCACTGAGGGAGCATGTGCTTGTACGCCCAAGATCCTGGAAGGAGAATGGAGAAGGGACTGTGGGATGGCCATCCCCCTTGGGGGATGATTTCTCACTTTCCCTCTCACTGTGTCTGTCTGGTAAGCACAAGCACCATACAGCAAAAACCTCTTTAAAAACAAAACAAAACAACAACAAAAGAAAAAAGAATAAGAAGAAGAGCTATGAAGGAAGCATAAACAAGATTCTATGAGAATGACTGACAGACCTGCTTTCTCCTCTGGGGACAGGAAAACTCCTCTGAGAGTATGAGAGTTTATGCAGAAACCTGAGAGAAGAGAAGGAGACAGTAGGAAAAGAGAAGTCCTTGAGGGGGGAAATTTGACCAGCCCTAGAAACCAAGAGTAGCTGGTCAGAGTGGAGAGAACACGCAGGAGCCCACGAGGTCAGCAGGGCCTGGGGTCACATGGCTTTCCATCATCTTACTGAGAACAGGAATCCACCGATCACTTGTAAAGAACTGAATCTTTACAAGATTCATTGCAGGGCAGTGACTGGTGCCGAGTTTTAGAAAGACTGCTTTGTGGGAACCAGCAGTTATCGTAATGTCTATGTCGCTGGACTCCCACGTAGTCGACCGCGGTTCGTGTCCCGGACCCGGTGGCTTAAAACTCACGCCGGGCGCGTGTGCGTGCGTGCCCAAGATCCCGAGAGGAGAATGGAGGAGAAGGGATTGCGGTGTGACCATCCCCCCTGGGGGGTGATTTCTCACTTTCTGTCTCTATGTCTCTCTCTGTCTGTCTGGGGAGCGCACGCGCCCTACAGTGAAAATCTCTCCAAAAAGAAAAAAAGAAAGATTGCTTTGTGTCCTTTTGAACAAACAAGAAATTTGTCAAACTACTTTTAGAATAATTTTGGATCTCTGCAAAAATTACAGCTTTAATTACTGCACTAAAATGAATAAAACAGGGCCACAGGTATTGAGTCAATTTTGAAACACAATTTTGAAAATTTGAAGATTCTGTACAATACCATTTATATATATTTTAAACATTAAAGAGAGGCTATATGTCTTTTTACGGAAGTGGGAAAAAAAAAAAAACATAGAAAGGAAGGACAGGCCTGGGTTCTGGTAGAGCAGTTACTTCTGAAGAGGAAGGAAGGGATGGGCTTCCACAGGCTTTGTATCATTTGTTTTCTTAAAAAACGATTTGATGCTTAAGCGGAAAAATGATAATGTATTAAATCTCAGTGGGATACGTGTGTTTCTTATTATTAGGTTGTTGGAAAAGTCATGATGTATATTTCTATGTTCTTCTATGCAAAAATGTGTCATGACTTTTCCAATGACCCAATACGTTGTTTATGGTGTTTGAAATATCACCATTCACCATTTACAATCTGAAATGTTCTGTTCTGTATTTAAATAGCTATCATTACTTTATTCATCAGTGAAATAATCTGGCTTACTACTAAAAACTTATGCAAGCCATACCAACTTGCTTTTTTCATTTGCCAGAGGGTGTGTGTGCTCACCAGAGAGAGACAGAGAAAGAGAGAAAGCACCCCTGATGGGGTACAGCTACACCGCAATCGCTTCTCCTCCACTTCTGCATCCTCTCAGGATCTAGAGCATGCAAGCACATGTGCCTGGAATGTTTCTCAAGTCACTAGGTCTGAGACTCAAGCCACACAGTCTGCCATGTGGGATCCAACTCCATTAATCACCAGCCCATGGAGCCAACCTCCTGAATCATCTTAAACATAAATAAATACAGTTAATCATCAGGTAACAATATTCAAGTTACTTCAGTCTTCTCCATGCTACTGCAGTTGAGTAACTTACTCAGTTATCCAAAGTTCCACTCAAATAAAAATGTGAGAAATCAAAATAAAAACTCACATGTTATAATTTTAAAGTTCTAAGCTCTAAAAAAGAGACTCGTCCAAGATAACCAAAAAGTTATTGCAGAGCTGGATCTGCAATGTAAGTGGATTCCCAAAATATGTCTCTTCTGTTAATCTCACTGTGAATATAAATGGGAAATTGGGCAGAAATCTCTCTTCCCAACTTCCTTGTTTTATTTTGCTTCTTTTGGTTAAAGTATAACAAAAAAGAAAACCTATCTACTGTGTCTACTGGGTTGTCAGAAGTCATGATGTATTTTTTTCTATGCAAAAAATATCTTCAAAACTGTTAGCACATGGCCAGCCACATGGTGCAATGGTAACACAACATGCTACAACACTGAGGCCACGTGGGAAGGTCCTGGGTTTGTATCCTGAGGGTCTCTCTGTGCACACGGGCGTGAACACATGTCCAGAATCCTGGCAAGCTGAGGATGGGGTGGAATACAGCACAGGGATGCTGTGGGGGGTGTCTCTACCTCTTTCTTTTCCTCTCTCTCTCATGGAAAAAGTAATTTTAAAAAACCAGCATAATTCTTAAAACTGGAGTATTATTTACCTTGTACTTCCTACTTAAATTTAGCATGCACAGAACAGTGAGCATTAATTGCCTTAGGTCCAAGGAAGATACCTGAGATTCAGTTTATCTCAATTATGGCCCTGCAGAATTTCACGTCTGTTTAGATGTCCTGTGCAGCAGAACGCAGCCATGAGGGCCTAGAGAACAGAATACAGAAAAAGACCATGGGAATTTATCTGAACTCCAGAGCATCCCCTTCTACTCTCAAACCAATCAGGTGAGTGAATGTGAAGGGAGGGGTAGAGGAAATGAGAACAGCTTTGTTACTGGTACTGGTATTTTACCCACTGTTTCTGAAGCGAAAATCAAGACCTGTGGTATAGGATCCAAGAGTGCGCTTGGGAGCAAGAAGACAATTTCTTATCTGGGTGATCATGAAATAGCCAGATACGAAGGTAGATGCGAACGCCATGTGTTTGTAATTATACCCTGGAATCATGGCAATCCTTGTGCTATCATTTGCTGGCTTTGAAACTCTTTTAACATCTTCAGTGCGTGACTGAATATGGTTTAGAGGTGAAGGTTGTTAACATGTTGATTTTTATTTCCTCATTTTTCCTAAAATGCAGGCATAAAGTTAACAGCTATGGTGTTTTCAGGGTGAAAGTTTAGTCCTACAAAGATAACTATTTTGGAAAACAAGAATCCCACACTGGAAATACCATAATAAGACATCCAAGCTAAAACCCTGAGAAGACTGCTGAGGCTGTAGCTTCTGTGTGTGATTTGCAGTGTGACCATTCAGACCCCGTTATAGAACAGCATCTCCCCCGCAGCCTGCCCAGCGTTTGAAATTCCATTAAGGAAGAGAAACCACCTAAGTGTATAAGATGGTCTTAAAGCAGTGAAGCCAGGCAGCAGTGGGTCTAAGCTCTGGTACGCTTCTCTTTATGCTCAGAATTGGGGCATGACTTGATCTTTTGTTCTGATGTGCTCCAGCCACACGCGCTTACTAAAGTGGACGCGGGCTCCAGTACTATAAACACCTCCTATGGGACCAATGGCCACATACAGGGTATTTCCCTATAAATGTTCTGCCTTTTCCTTCCAGGAAGCCTGTGTTTGGTTGCCAGCCACTTTCTCTCTGGAGGTCTCTGGTGACCTATCACTCGGACTGGCCCTCAGCAACAGAAGCTCCTACAAAGCAGTTTTGACTTTGTCTAAGTGCTTTTGCAGATTTGAGAACACAATTTAGGGTATAACATAATCTTATACTCAAGAGTATAAAACCGCTGTACTTTATCACAATGCAACCGCCAGTCCTGCTCAGCGCATGACTAGGTCATTTCAACATGGTCAGTCTGCCTGTAAACTCTACATTGGCGCCAGCAGGGGGCATACTGCTTAAGGCACTGGATTCCCCCATATGGCCAACTGTGGTTTGAGTCCCAGATCCAGTGTCTTAAAAATCATGCTGGGTATGTGTGTGTGCATGCCCAAAATCCCAGGAGGAGAATGGGGGAGAAGAGATGGTGACATGGCCAATCCCCCTGGAGGGTTGGTACTTTTCTTCTCAATGTCTCTGTCTTTCTCTAGCAAGTGCACACACTCTATGGCAAAAAAACAAAAACAAAAGAAACACCTTAAAAAAGAAGGCAAAAACTCCTTCACATTATGCTTTGTATACACAGAACTTTTCAGATGACAATCTAAACCAATAGCAGATCCTTGATGGGCCTCAAGAAGTTGTTGGTAGTGAGGGTTTGAAAGAAACTAAGAAAAGTGTTGGGGGGCGGGGATTTAGCAAACCTGCCGCCTGCAATTACAGAGGAACAACAAAACGTAGGTAATGAACTGAAGGATCCAGAACAGGGGGTTTCTAAGCAGAGTCTCACAAAACATGCCTAGCTCTTCCTTGGCAATTTATTGGGCTGTTGGAAAAGTCATGACGCGGGAACCAGCAGTTAGCGTAATGGCTATGTTGCTGGACTCCCACGTAGTCGACCGCGGTTCGCGTCTCGGACCCGGTGGCTTAAATCTCACGCCAAGTGTGTGTGCGTGCATGCCCAAGATCCCGAGAGGAGAATGGAGGAGAAGGGGTTGCGGCGTGACCATCCCCCCTGGGGGGTGATTTCTCGCTTTCTGTCTCTATGTCTCTGTCTGTC